GGTGGTGGTTTTCGTCGTCGTCGTCGTTTTCGTCGGCACCGTATGAGTTGGTGCAGGGGTGATGATGGAGGCCTTTTCGAAGGTAACGAGTAGGGTTGACAGGTGGTTGTTGGATTGGGCTTCGGAGATGCCCCGTGAGTTCGATCCGCGAGCAGAGTGTTTAGTGAAAGCGTAGAAATGCTGGAAGGGTAAAGAAGTCAACGTTGCGAGCGGAAGACGCCCGAAACTTGCCAACTGCTCTATCGACTTTGGTAGAGGCAATCTCGTCGACCTCATAGATTGTTACCCCAGTATTCATGGCTCTCTCCCAAGTCGATCTGTCCCTATCGAGGTCGTCGTAGAATCGCCTAAGAGATGCTTTCCCGAAGTCCTTGTAGAAAGTTGTTGTGACTCCCAAAACCACATTGCCACTCCAACGCAGATGAATGAATGCCGTAGATTTCGACTCGCCCGAGGACTGCTGTGTCCAAAATTCTGCTTTTCCGACATGAATTCAGTATTCTCGTGAGGCTTGTTCGGACGGAAAATGTTAGGTTTCATTGTCCGTTTCTCGTAGAATATCCAGATCTCCGATTCGCACAGCAGCGTTTTCAAGCTTCCACTGTTGTACATCTTGCACTCTGCGTTGAGATGGCGGTCGTGGCTACTTTAGACGTAGCCCCCCAATTGGCCGAAGTCCTGACCGGCTTTGGCGATTCGATGAGCCTCTTCATCGTCGATTTTAGTGTTCCCTGATATTTTACTGCCTAGATGGGCGACGTTCTGCACAACCTTCAGTTGGGTGCCGTTGTCGGGATAGTTGTACTGACTGTTGGACGACCGCTGGTATACGGACACCGTTTTATGCATATAAATGGTCAGTTCGAATTGTGCACACTCGGCGACGATGAGCTCCGTGCTCCCTTGCATGTGAGCGGTGTTAATCACGCCGGCGTTCGGAGATAAAATATCATGAACAGAAGTCGTCGAGAGACATATGGCCACCTACGTGCGTCAAATAATAAATAACTAACAGTTAGTCTTTCAAACGATACCGATTCTAGGGCGCTCATTGCGATAGGCGTTTAGTATCATGGCGGAGAACTGAAGATGGCAAGATCGAGTGCGCTGCCTCGCTTTGCTCCATTGGCCCCCACGAATGCTTCTAGGGGTGTCTCATTGTCCGTTATCCCCACCAGCATCATGTCATGGAGTTAGTGGACCACGCGTGTGAGGCGGTCAGAAAAACCGGATTTTGTGTGACTCCTGGGTCCCATCGCAATCCGCCGTGTCAAATTATTTGGACAGGCCTGAGGAGGTAGTGTAGAGATGGGTCCGGATTCCCTGACATTTGTTTTAAAGTTGCTGGTCTGAAAAAAACGATTTTAACGGTTTTACGGCGTCTCTGAATTCGTACTATCTTTCCGGGAGAAGTCCGCGTTCCACATGGCGACTGAAACAATTCATGAGGACGTATGCGGAGATCTTTTCCGCAGTGTTGGACAGAAGAATTTCTCTGTGATAAGCACAGAGTTGTCTGTTTTCTTTCCACTTGCAGAGACTGTCGCATGCTCTAAATGCTGAAGGACTTGTTCCTTCCGTCATGTTTCTTGGAAAAGCGATGTGATGAATCCCATCAGCCAAGGGTCGCAACGCTTGTAGACAGCGGTCGAGACTGCGGAGGATCCCGATGCTTTTCTCGCATAGTTTTGATCGCTTTTGTGAAGAAACACCAGAGGTCGAGACCTTCGTTCTTGTTCATTGGGGACAGCTGACTGATGGCTGCTTCGGAGTTTGCAGATGGTCGGATGAGGGCTGTTCTGATGTGCTTGACTCAGGGCTTCAAAATATCCGATTTCTCATGAAAAAAAGTGTTGATCGGTCGGTGTTAAGCAACAACGTCATTGCTTTATCCATGGGACTTTGTGTGGATCATTTTCCTCAACGGTTAGTTCGCTGGTATCTACGTCGTTTTTGTCAAGCCGGTGTTAGTGTTGGCGACGTGCACGACTGAGGCCGCCCAGGATGATGAAGCGGATGACATTTCGCAGATGAAATCACTGTGTCTCCACAGTGTTTTTTCTTCCACACACATCTTCCATGCTCAGGACCGAATCTTTGCTGACCTCGGAGCGGTGATCAGGTAAATTCAGCAGAACAGTATTCAACGTGTCTGACGGTCGCTTACCCTATGGTCTCCTGCGTGGTTGCAATCGAAATCTCATCTAGGAAATGACAAGGCTGCCAGTCGTTGCCATCGAAAGTCTTTATTGGTCTCGTCTCTGCAAAAGAAGGCTGTCCAACAGGTGCCCACGCGGCGATCGTGGCTGCTTCCGGGTTACCCTCTTCTGCTTGGGAAGGTTGTAGGCTTCAGTCCGGTGGAAACGATGTTCAACGCAGGGTAGCAAAAGCAGGAAGCCGTTGTCGTTGCGACCACCGATGCCATGGGGACCCAGCACTCCCTCCTCGTCAGCTTGATCTGTTCTAGCGTGGGCATTAAAGTCATCAACGGCAGTCAGTTTATCCGCCTTCGGAACAGTCGCCAGTGGGGCGTGGAGGCCGTTGTATAATATGTTCATTGGGGTGCGTAGGCACTAGTTCTCCCAGAAGACGTTGGCGCAGAGTAAAACGGTGGTCGTTCATGCCCCGCGCCATATAGGGCAGTCATCCAACGACATCGTTCCGGATGGCAAATGTGACACCAGCGTCGCGTTACTCTGTTTTGGAAGGCCACCCCAGAAGAAGGTGTAGTCGACACCCACCTCATCCACTTGGCCTTATTGGGAGAAGCGGTGGGGAGTTAAATCTTTTAGCTCGCCATTTCTCGAGCCACTAGCCTTGTCCTCCTCTTTGGATAGTTGTTGCTCGGATTGTCTAAAAGGTAACGAACATTCCAGGCTTCCGGTTTGGGAAGAGTCACCTTAGAAGTGCGAACGAAGGTCGCTGTTTGTGTGATTGCTTCCTACGTGAGTTGCACATCTGCAGGCCAGGTTCGGTGCGAAAATAAAGTGAGTGACCAGCAATTGTTTGAGGCGCATTTTCTTGCCCTTTCCTCGATGGAGGGTAAGCAGAGCTTCCTCTGTAAAGGCTTGCTTACACACCCCAGACTCCTGCCGAATTCGACTATGAGGCGTGTTTGTTTAGTGATGGGCACTGTGAGTTAGTGTGGACCGCCAGCGCGATTGCGTGTCGTAGAAAGTTTATCCAAGCGGGGAGAAGGGGAGCATGATTACCAGGTGTGAGGACAAATGACACCGGATACCCTTAATTGATTTAGCTCGCCAGTCGAGGCAGTTATCGGGGTGTGTCCACCAGGTAGAACCTGACCTCGGGATCCAGAGATGAGAGCTGATTGCAGGCAACGACCGCACGGAGCAGCCACTTCCTGGACTCGGATGTCTCATACACGTTAGTCGAATGAAGCGCCTTCAATACACGTGCAAAATTTAAGCGCACTAAAAAATAAACACGTAATTAGTATGAATTCCTTCCATGAATTGCCTGTACCAGTTTAAATATATCTAAGGAAGTATGTACAGAATCTTAATTTTATATAGTTACTGAGAAATTCCTCTGTTTTAAATAGCCTCAAAACTAGATGATTTTCGATACTTTGTAATTATTATTGAAATCGCATCATGCATGCAGGTCTACCGATGTTTCATTTAAAGTGTACAACGCAATCCATGGTAACTGTTCAATCGCATGTGCGTTAGATGGTGTTATAATAACGTAGATAAATGCATGACTCACTTTAACTGAAAGATAAAGAGAGAGTAATTAGCACTAGCAGGCACAATTTATAATTAATTTAGACCCAGTGAAATCGTGTCAAAAACGAAGACAGCCCGGTTTCATGTTAAAAACGTCAGGAAAATACAATCGACTGAGGAAGAGTACAATGAATTAGGATTCCACAACTAGGTCTTCTACTACAGATAAGGCAGAAGAAGATTGTATCACATGCGAAAACTATATTGGCGGGCAAACACATCCTCTCCAACGCTCGCATACATTTAAATAGATAAAAGAGACTTTGAAACTATTGAAAGTTTTCGTTTTTCTCTTACAAAGAGGCTCAGAGACTGTGTCTTCCCCCATGTTCTGCCGATGCACTGCATGCAATCTTTAATCCGGGAGATGTGAGCCCCCGACCGGTCATTTATAATTGCAGACATTAAAGTGAATTTGGCAGAAGAGGAAGGGGGTTGGTGCATTGACCAACTGAGCGGCATTTCTCCACTGATTTGGAGACACTTTTTACGCTGCTTACGTCAGCATCGTCAACGGAAGTACTCTAATTATGACCGTTCGAGTTCCGCAGGCATTTAGAAGTCGACGAAGGCAGAGTGCAGGGAACGATAACAGGCGGAATTTTGTCTGCAATTGGAGGTCGAAATCGCGCTGAGCGGCTTACGCCAGTTTGGATGTGAGAGGAGTGAGTAAGTAACGCATGCAGTCAAAATTGTGCAAAGACCGGGCTGTTCTGTACGATTTAATGAAATCGCCAATACGTAGGTATGCAAGGGAATTAAATTGAGTTATTCGTTGTATTGACTAAAGGGTATGAACGAAATGTCTTTACGAATAATCCAACGAAGAGGTTGACGAACTGTCCGCACTTTTCATGATGCGGTCGACAGGTAAGTCCGCTGAAAGAGACAATGCGGACGCAAGTTTAAATGAGATTTGGTGAAGAGCGCGTTTCCTGTCTCTTCGCGATGCATGCTGAGTGGATGCCGCTGTGCCGGATCAACAGTAAGCAAACATGGTTTAGGTCCGAATTTTAAGTACTGGAGCACTTTTGCTGCCTGAAAATGAGAAATGATCTTTTTGAGAAGGAGGCAGCGACAGTAACAATAGACGAGAAGATAGGGATGCCGGTATAAGCGGATTTCTGCAGAGGCAAGCAGGGTTCGAGTTTGTCGATTGTTGGGAATGTTGTACTTCCTGATGCAATCTTTCACTGAAGTCAGGAGTTTAGTAGATGTGTCAAGTCGATGAGCAGTGTTTTAGAGAATAATTTCGGATGTCAACGATAATAGACGGGTTTTGGAGACGAAGTGATGCATTTCAACTGTTCCCACCGCAATGTGTCCAAAAGGGGCTAAAGACGCTGTTGTGCGGCTTCTGCATTCACCGCCACACACCTGGACAACGCATTCAGAGAAATGCCTGTTCACCTCCAAACATCATCACCAGCCCCACCAATACCACCATCATCATTACTACTACTATTACTACTAATATTACTATTACTACTACTAATACTGCATCTAATAAGCCTTCCGTGAACCAGAAATTGAACTCTACGTCGGGCCATTGAGTAGAATATTTGCGCTTTGACCATTTTGCTTTCTTGGTTTCTTACTTCGGCAGAAGCTCGAAGCCATCCGCCTCTTCAAAAACTAGTGATTTTTATAGCATAAGAGTACCGATCTGACCCAGTTTTTTAGGCAGAATAACACCGCTGACGAAGATGAGGAGGGTTAGAATGCGCAGTTCTGGCTTCGTAGGCGTCATCATTGCCCGAAGTGTGCTTCACCTGGAGCTCGACCCCCGACCCGTTGGTCAGAAGCCTTGCGCCCTAAACACTGAACCACTGGCTCACAGTACTCTCGGTTGTGATCGGGAATACACAATGGTAGCGAGACACTAACCGGTCATGTTGCCGGGCGTACTCGTGCCATTGTGTTTGCAGGGCTGTGTGTGATTTGACCGGATTACGATCAAGATTACGCACAGCTGAAGAGGCTCGGGGGTATCAGCCCCCCAGACATGCTGTGATTAATGAGGTGTCTAGGGTAATGAGCATGACATCAAATGAGTGTCTTTTTGACATCCTTCCTTGTCATGGCTGTCATCTGTAACCTCTCATGCTACTGTGATACTTTTGCGGACATTCGGCAAATGCTACTCAGAATTTGAATCTAGCAAATTAAACTTAATTGATCGATTCGGCTAGTTCTCATCGACCTCAGCATTCCCGCGTCCACCTTGAGATAACGCTGATTTGTAGATGTGCATGGAAATTCGGCGGACACATGAGGAGGGGCGCTAACTGCATTTACACCTTAAAGACTAAGGCTTTAATATTAGTTTAGCTGCTCACTTCGCCAGCGGGACTGACAGGCGTTAGAAGTGACGGGAACGATTTCATGACACAAGCATCAACAGTCTGCACGGACTGGACTGTTCTGTGGGATTTGCTGAAATCGCCAATATGTCGGCGTTCAAGGTCGCTGGAGTCATTCGTTGCACTAACGAGACTTTATGTACGAAACCTCTTCACAAAAATACTCTGAAGTGGTTGATTGACTGTTCTCACTTGTCATAATCCGAACGACAGGCTTATCCGTTGAATGAAACAATACAGACGCATATTTGAATAAGATTTAGAGCTCTGAAGGGCGTGTCTCCTTTTTCTCCGAGGCGCATGCACTTTGGCTGTCGCTGCGCTGGGTCGAAAATAAGTACAAATGATTTGAATTGAAATTCTACAAATCTGAATATTTCCATTGAATCCCTTAGGTAATTGAGCTTTATCGGGAGGCTGCGGATGCTGCAGTAGATGAGATAGCCATTATGAACATATATCCGTAGATGCATGCATGAGAAGGGAATGTTAATTGTTGGAAATATTGTAATTCAATGGAGGCAGCATTAACGTAGACGCATTATGTGAATGAGCAGTGTCTCGAATAATATCTTGATGATGAGAGCCCGGTTTTGGGGATGATGTGACGAATTTCAACGGTTGTCACTAGAATGCGGAGGCCAGAAGGACGGAGATGCGAAATTGAGGCTCGCGCGCCACACACGTAAATAACGCATCCCGAGGATTGTCTGCGTCTCTCCACCTGTTACCATCACTTCAACTACTACTTTTATTGCGGAATCTGATGTGTTTTCCGCGAACCTGAAACTTATGTCCATGTCCGGTCGCGGAGCCTCTAGCTGTGTGATTTGATCATGTTAAGATCTTAGCAGAAGCTCGAGGGTCTAAGGCACTCCCAGACAGTCTGCAATAAGGGGGGTGTCTAAGGTAATGAGCATGATAGCAAAGGAGTGTCTTTCTGACAAGTTTCCTTGTCATGGCTGTCATCTGTAACCTCTCACGCTACTGTGATACTTTTGCGGACATTCGGTAAATGCTACTCAGAATTTTAATCTAGCAAATTAAACGTAATTGATCGATTCGGCTATTTGTCATCGACCTCAGCATTCCCGCGTCCACCTTGAGATAACGCTGATTAGCAGATATTCGTAGAAATTCAGCTGACACTTGAGGAGGGGCGCTAACTGCATTAACACTCTAAAGTCTAAGGCTTTAATATTAGCTGCTCAGTTCGCTGGCGGGACCCACACTATAGGCAATCAGGCGCTAATGGCTAACTGTGAATCGGGAAGTAGTCGATTGCATCAGGTGAGCTTGTTAAATTTCATCAAGGAGTAAGACTGACTCAAAAGGTTTATAAGTATGAGGGTGTTGCTATATGAAGCGTACACTGAGCAGTTGAAATTGAGTCAAACTCTTTAACCTTTGGCGGAGTATGAATGCAACGGGAGGCCGACTAAT